CAGAGTTCTGGGACCAGCCCCTGAACCTGCTTGGTCAGGTATTCTGTGTTGTTGTTGGCGGAGCTCTCTGCTATACGTCCGCCCGATCCGCCATCTTGTTTGTTGTTTGATAAAAGTTTTTTAATGAACAAAATTTTTCATTTTTTTCTGAGGTCCCATTTATTTATTTTGTCTTTTACTGCTTGTGCTTTTGTTACTATATTATATAATCCACTGTTGAAAACTAGATCTGATAGCATTACCCCTGTTTGATTTTCCAAGAATTTTATGATTTTAGTTTGCCCAAATAGGTCTTTAATCCATTTTTTATTTATTTTTTGTGTATGGTGTGAGGGTAAGGATCCTGTTTCGTTTCTGTGCATGTGGAAATTAAAATTTTCTAGCACCATTTATTGAAGAGATTCTTTTTACCCCTTTGAAGCACTCTTGTCAAAAGTCAGTTAACCATGGATGTGTGAGTTTATTTCTGGATTCTCAATTTTATTTCTTTGGTGTATGTGTCTATTGTTATATTAGTACCAACCTGTTTTGATTATTGTAGCTATATAGTAATTTTTTAAATTGAGAAGTGTTAGCCCTCCTACTTTGTTCTTTTCTTTCAGCATTGTCTTTATTTAGAGCCTCTTGCCTTTGCATATAAAGTTAAGGATTGATTGTTTCTGTTGGAAGAAGGCTATTGGATATTGATAAGGATTTCAGTGAATTATGTAGATCACTTTGGGTAGTTTTGACATCATGAAAATACTAATTCTTCCAATCCTTTAACATGGAACATCTTTACTGCTGTTTATTTCTAGTTTACCATTACCTTGAAAGTGTATCCCTTTGTAATCCCAATTGAAAGTGGTCTCTGGGCTTTGACTATTGCCCTTTAGTGAAAGCCCTGAAGGTTACCAAAAGAGTAGTTCAGGATGGTGGTTGTTACTAGTTGCCCTCAGATTGATTCAGATTCATGCCAAACCCATGCGTATAGAGTATAACTGCTCTACAGGGTTTTCAAGCCTGTAACATTTCAGAATTAGTTCGACAGACCTGTCTCCTGAGGTGTCTTTGGGTGGGTTGCACTGCCAAACCTTCCATCTAGTGCTTAATCATTACCAGCAGAGCCAAAAATAATACCAGTTGGTTTGAGTGCTGAGAAGTGGGTAGGCCTATCTGGTGTGCTGTCACCTACTGTCTGTGGTGCTGCCTTCTTGGGTTGAAGAGGAACTGAACAGATCTCATTGTTAGCAGAACAATTACCTGGCCTCTGTGTCCCCAGCTATACTGGAGTATACAAGTCTTTTTGCTTTTCATTTCAGCCTGATTCAGTGGTTCGAGACAGCACCAAGTCGGACTTGTCCACAATGCCGAATCCAGGTGAGGGTACTGGCCTGGGACCACCTCAGCAGAAGATATTTGTCCTTTCCAAGAAGCAGGAGTGAAGAAAGAATGAACGGTGTTTCTATCCTTTTGGAACCCTTACAATTTGAGGCCAATTGAGCCTTACTTCCTATGATCTTGAGAGGCTCAGGAGAATTAATTTCAATCCAAGGATAGCTGGCAGATGGACTCATCATCAGGTCCAGTGGTTTCCCTGGATAAATTCAGCCACCTTCTCTAACTCTTCCCATTCCTCAACTCTCCAGCCCCTAGAGTTGAGGTATCTTGTGACAGTCACCACATGTGTCTGAAGTGACATGACTAAAGCAACCACTAAACTCGAAGTTCTGATTTGGGCTGCCTACAAGAATGGAGAGGTCTTCTGTCTCTAAGAGATGTACTAGGAAAAGTTAGACCTGGTCACAGGCTTGGTATGCATGTTAAGTGGGTAGCCGGACCCATGCACACATCTGTTTGCCCATGACCCAGCTAGCCACACAGTCATACTCTCTTGTGTTCTTCTATCCAGGTTGGCAAAAGAACAATTATCAATAAGCTCTTCTTTGACCTTGCCCAGGAGGAGGAGAATGTCTTGGATGCAGAATTTTTAAAGGTACCCAGAATTTATCTTATCCCCACAGAAGTTAGGCCCTCCTAGAGTTCACTGTCACCCAGGGAGGATGCCTAAGGAGCTCTGGTAGCGTAGTGGTTACGAATCAGGCTGCGAACCTTAAGGTTAGCGGTTCGAAACTACCAGCCACTCCGCGGGAGAAAGATGAGGCTTTCTACTCCCGTAAAGATTTACGCCCTCGGAAACCCTGTACAGAGTCGCTATGGGTCGGAACCGACTCGACGGCACTTAACAACAACAACATTGGGGGAACTGGTGGAGATGTTAGGGCAAGGACATGGATAGCAGAGGACAAATGATGATGAGAGATGAGGAGAGAGACACAGTCTCATGAGAGCGAAGAAGGGGGCCACACCACTGTGAGCCCTTTCCTTGGTATTTCATGGCAATTCTGACCCAAAAGCAGAATGTGTTTCCCAAGGCCCCTTCACTTTGTGGAGGACTGTAGCAATCTTGCTCAGCCTACTTTCCTGCTAGGACAGTTATAGACAGATGAGAAAACTCTTCTACTCAGCCAGGGAAGATATGTGGAACCACTGTTCCCAAAACTTGCTGTGTCTTAATACTGCCTGTGGAGTTTGGTATAAATCCAGGTGCCTAAGCCTCTTCCATGGAGTCCTGGTATGGTGCTGTGGGTTAATGCGCCAGACTGCAAAGCCGTTTGAACTGCAAGGTCAGCGGGTCAAGCACACCAGCTTGCTCCTCGGAAACCCTATATAGGGTCGCTATGGGTCAGAATTGACTTGTCAGCACTTAACAACAACAACAAGCCTCTTCCAGATCAGGGATAGGAGGCAGAGCCCCTGAAATGAAAAATATGCATCCAGGATGAAAGCCCACACAATGGTGATTGGTTTGTTTTGTACAGTTCTGTTGCTTCTCTTTCAAGTCTAAAGTTGAAACCTCTTAGGGGATGTTGACATGGGTTGGGGTTTACAAGTGATCCCTGGACTCTGAGGGTTAACTTGCATTTGTCAGATTGGAATTTGTTCATCCTTTGGCACAGGGGTGTTGTGATGTCCTTGGAGCCCCATTGCTTCAAGCATGCAGAAATTTTGTGCTCGGAGCCAGCATGTTTATTGTCATGGTAACTGCTCCCATTTTAAGTGATGTCCTCCCTGTGATGAATGCAACAAAAGACAATTTCATTTCTTCCTCACTTTAAAAGCCAGGTTGGGGAGACAGGGAGGAAACATCTTGACTAGCTTGGAGCAAGGGCTTGGAAGGTAACTGGTGGGTGTGGAAAGAGCCAGGGAACTGTGGACATTGGCACAGCTGCGTTGAGCTGGTATCTATTCTCAGGCAGCTCCTTCACTACTCCCTACCTCCTATCATGACTGTAAGCTGTTAGCCCACACTGACTAGCCTGACCACCAAAAGCTCCTACCTCCAGAGTCCTGGGTAGAAAGTTTGACAGCAGGAGCCATAGCTCCTCTTGGGACTGGGCCTTAGTATGGGTCACATGTGAGATTCTGAGTTAAGTATTGTTCTAGGAAAGTTGATCTGGAGGTAGGTTTGACTGTACTCTCTCTTTTAAAGTTTTTATTCTGAGTTATGTGTTAGTTTATATGGGTGAACATTATCTTTACAACCATCCTATTGTATTTTGTTTCATTGCAATGATCACAATCCCCTGCATGTATCATCAAACAACCAGGTATACCCCACACGCGTGGCCCCCGACTGCCAGCCCACAGCCCCTTTCCCTCTCTGAGTCCAGATTCCCCAGCTGCTCCTTCTGTCCACATTATCCATCTCTGCCTCCATCCCTAGTGTTACTGCCTCCCCGACGGGGTCTCAGATTTCGCTTTTCTCCTTTGATGGTTCCAGGGACCTCAGCTCCTGGACTGCAAAATCAGCCACTCTTCTCCTTTTGTTACCAGACATTTACATTTACCTTTCCAACACTCACTGTCAGACCTGATAGCAATCATTCCCTATTGAACCACAGGAGTCCTTTCCCCTCACCTTTTATCAACACCATCCAGACAGGTTGGAAACAATTCATTGGAGGTTCTGCCTTTCCCTGTATCCTCTGGAGCTAGGTTCCCTATTGAAAGCTTGTAAGCCAGTCGTTTCTTGCCTTTGTAGTCCCCCCATTTTGGGTAGCCAATGCCTGAGTTCCCCATCCCTGTCAACCCTGTGTACCAAGGGTATGGGAATGATCCTCACTGTAGAGATTTGTCTGCTCCTTTGTCATACTGCATCCACAAGCATAGGTCAAGTTCATCCACTTGTAGTGGGTTACTCTTTCTTTTTCTTTTTTTTTTTGTTCCTATTCTTTCTTCCTCTAGTCATATTCTGATCATCCAGCCATTGATACCAGGTCAGATGGGTACTATCTGCAAGTGTGGGTGTTCCTGTGCATCTCCCTCACTTCATATCAGCTGGATGCTTCACACTCGCTTCTAGTCCTCTGGGGCCACGTCCCTACCCCTGGGCCCAGGAGTCCCCAGGTCTCGTCATACTGCTGGTTAACCAGGTCTTAATCCAGGTTAACAGGAGTCTATTAGATGTGGTCAGACTTAGTTCACAACTTCATTGCTGTTTTTCCCCTACTTCTCCTTATCGGTGACCAACGTGGTCAGCAGCAGGACCACATGCCTGCTAGTGTATTACAGTTGAGTTTCAGTCTTGGAAGGGGTTTGCCTTCCAGGGGACCTGACCACTTGCCCTGGGGAACAACTTGCTTGTTCTTTTAGTAGTCAATTGGACTGCTGTTATTTATTTATTTTTAATCCTGCTGGTCTTTCTTTCAAGAAGTATCTTCTGTTCTTCTGGCTGCTCCAGACTGGTCTGCTTGTCCTTTCAAGTGGGAATGTCCCACCTCAGAAGATTCTGGATGGGGATCAGGATTCCACCTCTGTTCTTGTACATTGCCAAGGCTCTGCAGGGAACCTTCTTCACTGGGCAAGTTCTATCCCCATTTTAGGTACTCCAATCAGTAATAGGCTGAAGACAGACTTACAACTTTTCTCTGGTGATGTTTCTGGCTATTCCTCTCTCTCCCCTTCAAGTGTCTGTTTTATAATAGTAGGCAAGGGAAACCAAGATTCAAAAGACATTGGCTGTACAAAGTGCCCATCAACTGAAGAATGGATAAACAAATTGTGGTACATACACACAATGGAATATTATGCTACACTGAAGAATAACAAGGAAGCGGCAAGCCACTGCATAACATGGATGAGCCTTGAGGACATTATGCTGAGTGAAATTAGTCATTCACAAAAAGAGAAATACTGCATGGGACCACTACTGTAAAAGACTAAGAAAAAGAAATTATACTGAAAGGTGGTAGGGGGAAGTTTTGGTTGGTTGCTGGGAAATTGGTGGTGGGTACGGGGAATGGGGAAGGGTGGAGCACAGGGCGGGGATTGGACTCAGGAGGGCTTGGGTGCTGGGGAGGGGGGCAGTATACAGGGAGGGAGAGGGAATTGGAGAAACGGGGCAGATGGGAGAGCAATTGGGCATGTTTGAATGGGCCAAATGGGACAGAGATAAAGGACGATATATGCACAGCCTTGGAACTGCAGGGCTCTGAGATACAGGGATTGAGCCATGGTTGGAATGGGCGGGGAATCGTGTTAAGATGCTTGGCTGTTTTTTGAATCTTGGTTTTCCTTGCATTATAATATAGAGTAGACACTGGAGGGGGATAGAGAGGTATAGTCAGAAACATCACACTAGAAGGCTTGTAAATCCGTCTTCTGCCTTTAACTGATTGGAATACCTAAAATGGGACTACAGCGTACCCAGTGAACGAGGCTTTTTGCGGAGCCTTTGCAATACATAAAACTA